CCGCTCCTTGTTTTAGATTTGGAAACTACTTAAAAAAACTCTTTTTCTTTAATAGTTTTCAGTTGTAGCAGTGAAAGAAAAAATTAACTTATAATCTTTTGAAAAATCTATATTTTTTTACTTTTTATTGCACAGTAAATGCAGTACAAAATTGGTTTCAAGCATCAGTTGTTCAGTTCGTACAGTTTAAAGCCTTATCCGGAATAAGATGGACAGCGGTCAAAATGAGAGAAGTTTTAAAATTCCCTCTTCCATCTTGTTGTAACAGAATAGACTACAAAATCACAAACAGACATCTCTGATTTATTCAGATTGACGAGGTATGTACCATGTCTGATGCTGCTTCAACAATAGATGAAGATATCTATATGAGTTGCGGTAGTGAACAAGTTAGTTTCTTGACGTTTTTGTTATTCCGTTATTTCTTTTTTTTTTCTTCTTAGTTATATAAATAAATTACTTTTAGCACGAAAAATAAATTGCAAAATTTTTGCTATAAAATAAAAACATTTTTAGAGAAAAATTAATTTGTCATAATAAATTCATGCTTATAAGCAGTAAGCTTAATACGATGGTGAAGTGTTTCAAGAGTCTTGCAGTATACAGCTGGAATTGAAATACTAGAAGATCCTACAGATGGTTCAACAACATGGCAACTGTTATGCTGTAACAGCGATTCTATTCAATTACGGAACAGTGATTGCATTGATACAAAATTTATCAATGATCTTCGACGTCCATCTTCCTTTTCCAGTGGTTCACAGATAATTCGAAAATGGCAAGCAATGACAGAAAATAAGTGTGTTCTTTAAAATTTTTACTGTAGCTTTCTAGACTCTATGATTAAGCTTACTCTTTATAGTAATAGTGAAAGCTGTAGTTGAAAAATTAGAATTATAAATTATTGAGCATATTTTAGCGATCTACGTTGGTGGTTACAGTTATGTCCTGTAGATGTTACTGAAACGAAACGAACAGATGAAAAATCACAGCCGATTCGTGCTCGACGACATCTGCCTCGAGCTTGGAGTCGAGGTCGATTTGCACCTCTGGTAATTTCTTATGTTTACAGCTTTATGCTGACTATAAAATGAAGTAACTTTTTTGTTATAAAAAATACCCATCATTGTTAACTCGGTTAATAATATCAAATTTGGTCGATCAAATTTCAGAATCAAAGTTGAGGTTTTTTAGGAATATTTTCCTGCTTATATGGGTCATTCCGAACCTCTTGTAAATGAAGAGAAATTTTTTAATCAGAAACGAATGAAACTGATTGAAAAAACAAATCAAATACAGGTAATAAAGAACAATTTTTTTGTTTTCTTGCTTATCTAGTCAAAAGTGAGTGCTACCTGTACAATTTTAAATGGTGTTTTAGCATAAAGATAAATCGCTCATGATTCGATAAAGATGAAGATTTTATTTGGAATATTTGGTAATCTGTATCTGAAAAAAATGACATTGAGGTAGGGTTTCAGTTAAGCTAATAAATCTCACTATTTACAGAGTCTGCTGTCGCCAAATCTGCAGACTTCAACAGCTACCACGAAATCAGTTACAACTAAGGAACCAATCTCAAGCAACACTAACAAATTTGACAAAGAGGTGCTGAACAGCGTTCTTGCATCTAATTCAACAGTTCACTTGTTTATAAACTTTGCCAGTTGTTGTAATATCAAGTTGTAAGTATACTTAATTTTCCTAGACGTAACTGTTTTTGATTACTTTTTCTTTTGCAGAACAGCTTTGAAGACGATATAGATGATAAACCAGCTTTTATCACAGAACCACCAACAACAGTACGAAAGGAATCTAAAGAGCCAAATAATCGAGAAGATACAGCATTGGATTATTATGATACTTATGACGACAACTTTGATCGGGCAAAACATGAAGGAAAAGGAGGGTTCTTAAGTGGTGTCTCTGATCTCTTACAAAATCTTCAGGTGCTTCTTTCTTTCTCTTTTTTTTTTCTTAACTTTAAAATTAGCTGCTAAAAACTTGTTGACGCAGAAATATTATGGTTGTCTACTTATAACTGACTGCATAGTTTCCTTTCTTTAATCAGTAAACATTTCACTTTTAAAATTTTGACTTTTTCTAAATTATTTAAAGAGCGCAATGAAAAATGTTTAGAATTGAATTACAACTGAAATATCCTTTTACTAAGACCTAATTTTTATCTGTTTGCGTATTGAATTGACAATTTTAACTAGTTAAAAAACAAATAAATTTTTTACTGCTATACAGTAGCAGTAAAGAATTTGTAAAAAATTTGTTTGTTTTTTTAGAACATCTTAAATCTTGTTGTTCTGATCTTATAGAAAGACTAGACAGATTGGATAAACAAAATTATTTTTTTAGAGGAAATTGGAAAATTTTTTACATCTTCAAGTTTTAGAGTTGACAGAACTCAATAGCGAATTTTGTAGTTCTAATTTGTAGACTAAAATCTTCAGGTAATATACCTGTATTTGCATATTTATATAAAAACAGGTAGGTAAATTACAGGTTTTAACTGCATTTATTTGCCTGATATGTTTTGTTGACTTTTAATTAGAAAATCACAGTTAATGAATTTTTTTTTACTGATCTTTAGACTTAAAGAGAAAAAATTCACAGTTATCTTTGAATACATTATGATTTTCCTCTGCTCTAAAAGATTTTTACAAATTAAGTAAAAAATAAATAAATAAGAATTTTAAAAAATATTTCTGAGTAAACTAAAATTTTTTGCTGTTTGAAGTGACAGGAAACTTATGTAGCTAAAATATTTTGATGAGATAGGAATATTTGAGAAATATTTAAGTAAGTTTTTATTCTCAATTTAGCTAGTAGCTAATCTGTTTTTTATTATTCGTTATTCTTTATAAAAGGAAATAGGCTTATATCTGAGCAAATGCTGAGTAGTCAAACCAAAAATATGTGAAAAAAGTGTATAATCAAAAAACAATCTGAGTTAAACAGCATTGAAATTAACCAACAGCAAACTGTTTAAGCCGTCTAACAACAAGTTTTTTTTTTAAACCTTATTTTCTTCATACTTCACTTTCTTCTCCTCAGTTAAACAATAAATTTTATGTAAGTACCAAACGCCTTTTGCAGTTTTATCATTTGCATCTGACAACTAATATAATAAATTTCTTTCGTTTATTTATCTGTTCCAAATATGGTACAACTAATTGTTATTGCTTTTTAGGATGGAATATCCTTAGCTCAAGCGGTAATGCCTAATAACAATCCTCAAAATTTTGCCACTAAGAGTACCACAGCTCCATTACCATCGTTGATGTTGAGTCGAGATGATAATGCACTAACAATTGGTGTACAAGACGGTGGACCAAATAAACGTTTTGATTCAATTATCAAATTACAAAAGTAATTTCAACTGGCTTTTTTATTCCTGTTACAAAATTTATTTTTGAAAAAGTCAGTATTATCAGATAAAAAGTTTAAGACTTTTAATTGAGCACCGAAATTAAGTGACATCTATCGTTGTTATAGGATCGGACCAAATCCACCTCGGCCAACTGGATCAGAGCAGACAACAACACCGGTCACAACATTAAAGTTAGGCGATCCTTCTGCTATTCAACAGATGTTACAATTCTTTGGACTATGTAAGGGTCATGAATTGTAACGAAAAAAAAAAAAAAACTATAAAATTTTTTTATAGTTTTTTTTTTTTTTTACTTTACTTAGACCACTTTTTTTTTTCCTTTTTTGCCCTAATGATTGAATTTTGATTTCCAATTTGCTTTGGTAAAGTAATATTCACATGAAAAAACAATGAAATTAGATATCATTTTATTTATTTTTATATGACTGTTGTTTTTTGTTTTCTTTCTTCTATAATTTTTAGTCTTGGTAGGTATCTCTAGGCTTAGGATTTCAATTATTTTTGTTATAAACATGCAAAAATGCATAAAAAACACATGAATACACTCGCTCACACACACACACACACGGATACGAACAAACCGGTGAAAAATATATTTATGTACATATAAATAATTTATTTAAAAAATTTTTATATTGTATGTATAACACAGAAATATACAGAAAACGAAGTTTGATATAAGAATAAAGCAATTGATTTGGGCTGTTTATACTATGGTTTTTTTTCCAACGTTCATTACCAGCTACCACCCCTTACAAATTATATCATATTGTACATAATGGATATAGAGTGGCAGTCATAAGTTTAGCAACGATATGCAAAAAAAAAAAAA